CTTCGACTGGATTGAAAATGGGGAAACTCCAATCTCCAGTCTCCTGTTTCGTCTCTTCGCCTAGGTCGAAAATGATGAGGGCATTTTTGTTCAAAAAAATTATAAACCGGAATGGGAATCACATTCCCTAGGGAGGGGTCGGGAATGGCCATTTTCCCATACGAGGGATTCCAATTCCGTTCGACCAAACATTCGGAATGACCCATTCCGATTCCGATTCCAGGGTGTTAATCCCTCGAACCAAACAGACCCTTAGTCTAACTGACAACCGTGCTAGCCCCAAACTACCAAGAGAATAGTTTTTGGTTCATAGGTTACTACTACTAAATAGCGGGATCCATTGCTGGAGATCCTTAATAGGAAATAGAAATACTGAAATAGGATTTCACCTTCTTAATTACAGCGTGTATGTAAGGATTGCCGCGTAATTGGCTCAAACTACAACTACTAATCACTCTCCTAATTCAAAACCAACTACTACTCTTTTGTCGATCACATCACTTCGCTCTATAAATATTTCCAAACCTAAGGCGGTTTTGCATCTGTTTTCTGAATCCTTCTTCATCATCTTGTTACTTCCACTTACAGTCTCGCGCTAATGGCTTCCATCCCCCACTTTTCCTCCCTCATTTTTATTCTCTTCCTCTTATCCGTCTCACCCATCATGAGAGCAGCTGCTGCTGATCATCAAGCCCAAGAAGGAATACCAGTGGAGAAGATCAAGCGTGCTCTTTCGGATGCCAATTATCTAACCATGTCCCTGACTCTCGACATGGCTCTCAGCACCATGATCCCAGCCGAGTTCCTCAGCAACAAACAACAGACAATCACCATATTCTGCCCTTCTGACAAAGCCTTCATGTCCCCCAACTTCAAATACGCAGGACCTCCCTTGACCCTCTTGCGATACCACATTGCACTGGGTAAGTTAGACAGAGAGGTTTTGGATTCACCGAAGCTCCATTGGTCCAAGGTCGACACCCTCCTTTCTGGGCATCCCCTTGTCGTCACTTCAGTACGTGGTGGAAAAGCTTCCATCAATGGCATCAAAATCACGCATTGGGACCTGTACAACGACGGGCATGTGATCGTTCATGGCGTGGAGGACTTCTTTGACCCTGCTTTCCAGACCCTTTGGTTCCCACAGTACGATGGACTATTGGTGGACAATGATCATGAGTCCCATAGAGAAGGTTCAAGCAAGGTGGTGGTAGATATTCTTCTTCAGTTGACAGAGAGATCGGATTTACAGATGGCTTCTGTGCTGTTCTTTGTCGGTTGCCTTGTTATGTGTCTATGCTGTCTTCGACGCAGAGAGTCTGTAGATGGATTTGTTCCCTTGGCCGTATCTGGTTCAGTTGTTTAGTCTGTCTCTGATAGTGTCTGCTGTTTCTTTCGTTATTTCTTTCAAGAATTGTATGACGCAGATGCAAAACAAAAGGTGTGTTCTCCAGCAAAGTGAAAGTTTCTTAATTACATTGGTTGCTTCATCTTTCTTTCCTGTGCTCTGTACATTGGATTAAGATAAGTCTACTTGAAAAGCTGTATTGTATTCTCCTGCAAAGTGATAGATAAGTCTACTTGAAAAGTCTATCTCTCTCTCTCTCTCTTTATATATATATATATATATATATATATATATATATTAAAACACAACAGTCTAGAAATTTTCTCTTTTATTTGAAATTTTTATTTTTTATTTAATATCATTTTTAAAACAACCAATGAGATGTTTCCCTATAAAAAATTAACTAAATCCTCTCTCTCTCTCTTTCCCACATTTTCACAATAACATAAATAATATCAGCTCCTAAAATTTCTCCTAAACTATTTTCCCCATTATCCCCCACTTTCTCCTAAATTATCTCTAATTCCTATTTATCCTCTCCCCCACTTTTTATCTATATCTATCTAAAGAAAGTTTGAATTAAAAAATTTAAAATTTATTTAAATATTCTTAAAAATTATATAATAACTTTAAAATATTTATTAAAAACACAAAAAATAATTATAATTGATTTAATAATATTCATATTATTAATAATTTTATATTTTTACAAAATGCATCACGAAATTATGTACTACCAATATAAATTAGGGTTTTCCGGATTATTCAATTTAAATGTTATTCAAATAATAAAAATTTAACAGTAAAAATAAAATATTGTTTAAATATTTCAAGAACTAAATATCTTAAATAATAAAATATTTAATATTATGTAATAACTTTAATAGAAATAAAATACAAATAACGAAAATTTTTAAATATTTTATATAATTTAATATTTTATAAAATTAATAACAAAATTATGTAATAATAGTATAAATTATAATTTTATGGATTATTAAATTTAATAAATAATTAATATTTTCAAATTTAAATAATGATATTATTTAAATAACTAAATAATATTGTAAATAACTAATTTCACTTATATTAATTAACAAATATAGAAAATAACTTTCAAAAAGAATTCGTATTTATTAATAATAGTTTTAAAATCATAATCTATATGTATTATAGATTAATACATACTAAAATAAATATTTATTGTATCTTAATTAATTAATTATTATTTTTTGTGATAAATATATTTTCAATAATCATTGTCTTAAATATAGGCGATAGTTGTCTTAAAATTACCTATTTTCAATAGAATTACTATCAATTACAGATTACCCTATTTGCCCTCAATTTTATATCAATAAATAAAAAAATGGAGGGGTAAATTTTGTCCTCAAAGAATTCCAGAAATATTCTGAGGCCATTTGTGCTTTTATATAGTAGTAGTAGTAGTATATATGTATATGCATGTAAGTTTGTTAATGAAATTTGTACATAATTTGAATCCATTCTACTCCAAAGTTGGGCAACAAAGCCCAACCAATTTAAAATAAATATGCTCATATGTACTTAAAAATTATATTATATCTATCATTGAAGTTGGTCCAATGTTGTAGTTTCACTAAATTGTCATAGGTCCAACTTCTTTGAATGTCATTTTCAATTAATTTTGTTCATAAAATACAATATTAAAGTTATTTTTAGCTCATTTTATTAGTAATATATAATGTTTTGATCATTTTTAGTCTAATTTATTTATACTATTTAATGTTCGATTATAATCCAAATTGGATTCAAATCTAGATATCCAAATGGATATGATCTAATTCAAATTTAAATATAAACAAAATAAATTTAGATATGCCTATATCCGATTCAACCCGATCCGTTTGCAGCCCTAAAGATGACTGCAATAAAATACATTAATAAATTCTTTTAAGTCCAACCAACCCGCCTGCCTAACTAACATAACCTGACCCAATCTTAGCCCAAGCCTAGCTTGAGTTTTGTTAGGTTAAGTTTATGTTGGGCCTGGCTTAAGCTCAAGGCTTTTACATAGGTTGAGCCTTTTTTTTTTTTTCTTTTTAATTTTTTAGGTTGGGCTTGGATTGGCCCTCAACCTTATACAACCTATCCAAGTTGCACCTCTAGGCACAATTAAAGGGTATTTGGATATATTAAAAAAATGGAAAATATATTGTTAATCTAGATTTTTCCAAATTTCCATTGATATATTAAAAAGGATGTTATGACAGAGACCCAAAAATAAAAGTCCATACACTTTTGTGGAAAATAAAAATAAAAATAAATGTCCATTATAAAAGTGGAATTAGTTCTGGAATTAAAATTTGATTGGTCTCCTCTTATCCATTTCACCCATCATGAGACCTACTGTTGCTGCTACTGATCATCAAGCTCAAGAAGGAATACCAGTCGAGAAGATCAAGCGTGCTCTTTCAGATGTCAATTACCTAACCATGTCCCTGACTCTTGACATGGCTCTCAGCACCATGATCCCAGCCGAGTTCCTCAACAACAAAGATCACACAATCACCATATTTTGCCCCTCTGACAAAGCCTTCATGTCCCCCGACTTCAAATACGTAGGATCCCCCTTGACCCTTCTGCGATACCACGTTGCACGGGGTAAGTTAGATAGAGAGGCTTTGGATTCACCGAAGCTCCATTGGTCCAAGGTCGACACCCTCCTTTCTGGGCATCCCCTTGTCGTCACTTCAGTACGCGGAAAAGCTTCTATCAATGGCGTCAGAATCATGCATTGGGACCTGTACAACGACGGGCATGTGATCGTTCATGGCGTGGAGGACTTCTTCGACCCTGCTTTCCAGACCATTTGGTTTCCACAGTACGACGGAGTACTGGTCGAACTCGAAACTGGCAACTCTGATTCAGGAGGTTCAACCAAGATAATGGATCTTGTTCTTCAACTCAAAGAGAGATCAGATGTGCAGATGGTCTTTGTACTGTTCTTTGCTGGTTGCCTGGTTGTGTCTATGCTGTTGTAGACGCAGGGAGTCTGTAGATGGTTATGTTTCTCTGTTACCTGGTTCAGTTGTGTAGCCTGTCTCTGATAGTGCCTACTGTTGATTTCATTATTTGTTTAAGAATTGTATGACGCAGATGTAAAACAAAGTTGTACTCTCGAGGGGAATTAAAGTTTCAGAATTACATTGATTGCTTCATCTTTGTGTCCTGTACATTAGATTAATATTAGTCTCCAGGCGTAGCTGTATTGTATTCTACTGCACCAGTTATCAAAGGGATGAATTAGCTGAACTGAATGACTTATTTATTAACTAATAAAATTTTTTAGAGTATGGTAATCAACCCAAATCAGCTTCAGCCATTACTTGCAAACAGAATTGGGGTTTGCTGAATTTGCTCAATCTGATAGAGAATGGATCCATATTGGCATATTTAATCCAACCATTACAGATTGATCACCCTTAACCGGATAAAATTCAATTCGGTAAAACGGACGGTTTATTACTATTTGCGGTACCACCCGATGGTTAAAAAAAAAAATTGAAAGGGCATAACAGTCATTTTATAAATGATTATGTCCGTCACCGACATAGAGGTGACGGTTACAGCTTACAGGGGGAGGAGAGGTCATTAAGTCAACCCTTATTTCAGAAATTTCAGGGAGATCTTTTGGATTTGTCTGAAAGTTTAGAATACAAGTGTCATTTGATCATTTCCTCTGTTCAGACAGGAGGTGAGAGAGGTAGTTCAGCGGGATGTGCTGTGGGACGTTGTGGGGGGCTGATTTCAACTCCTCGGACTGGTGAGGGAGAGGCGGAGAGGGTAGCTACCTAGCAGGTAGCAGCGTAGCAGCTGCTGTGAGTAGTGAATCACAAGCACGTCCATCCATGGAGGACTTGAATTGATACTTTCTTTCCACCTCTGTCTCTCCTCCTGTCTTAGGAGGAGGAGCGGGAGGAGGGTTTTAGTGGGGAACGTTTCTTCTTCAGATTTGCAGCATGAAGAGCAAGATTAGAATCTTCCCATTTTCCTGTGTACTGGCCTTTGCCTTCTACCTCACCAATCTCGTAAGGGCACAAAGCGGTAAATCTTTCTTCTCAGCTTGCCATCACCCCCTCTCCCTCTCTCTCTCTCTCTCTCTCACACACACACACACACACACAAATACTGCGTTCCAACTTTAGTGTTATAAGGCATGTTCTCTCTGGTGTTGTTATCCTGTATTTGGAGTTTTGAAACACTCCACATACAGCTCAAGATACTCCCAATTACTACTTCCTTCCGAATACCATTGAAGCCCTAACTACTATTTTGTAGCTTAAATTAGAACCCAACTAAGTAAATGACCCAAATGCTTCTTCAAAGTATATAACCTTGTCAATATCTTCGTCAATTTGTAAAACCCTGAGGCAAAGAGTTAAAACGATAGCTTATTACCATGGATTTAAGACAGGATAGCTAACCATAAAGCACCCAACACATATATGTTGATATATTATGATAATATTGGAGAATACATTGAATGTATAAATGTATGTATGCAACCAAACAGCATACTAAGATGGATAGAAATATAATAAAGTTTAACTGTGCAAATGTCACTACTCAAAGCCAAAAGGAATTATAAACTATGGCCTTGCCTTAAAAGAAGTTTCAATTGTGTTTCAGATGCGTGCCCAACAAAATAGGTTTCTATTTAGTAGTAGGAGGTCTATGCGCTACTTCTGGGAAAAAACGCATACCCAAGAATTGCATAAATATTGGACAGCCTTTAAATGATAATTACAAAAAGCGTGTAATATGTGCATCAATCAAATTTCATTCTCTTCTTTTATTCCTTGTTATTATGGATTTTTTTTCTTCTAAACATGTTTTATTAATAAAAAGTTGGGCTTAATTTACCCAATGAGAAGAATAGATAGACTTGTTTAAGTGTGATTCTATGAGAAAGAAAAGAGAGGAAGAAGGGTGCGTGCTATTAGAGCAAGTTTATTCACATTTTGTTTCTTTACTCTCAAAACTGATTTGGAATAAATTTAAAGCATGCATAGGTATTCCTTTATTTCTACAATTACTTTTTGAAGTCTTATTTATCTATAGTTAATAACTATACTGGAACTGGAAGTATATGGTCCTCAGAGATTGGTTGTCTATTCATAATGCTTTCAAAGGGTGAATTTTTTAGAGGTCCTGATTTCTTTTATACTTGTACAGCAACTCATTGTACATAGGACCATATACTTTCGAGTTAATACATTATACTTTACCCTTCTTCAAAAAATATCTCTTTTGGAAGAACTTTGAGAAGTTTGGTTAAAGATCTTTTAGGCTCCACAAGGAAAGTAGGGAGAATGAGAGAAGCATGAAAGATTAAATGTTTGTTACAGTTTTCCCATGAATTCGAAGTAAAATATCAAAGTAAGCAAAACGTAGTAAATGTTACAATATGCCTTGGTGGGAAAGTTTTTCTTTTTTGATACCAATCACATGGTTGATTAAACTTTCCAAGATGTTTGATATATTTTAGGAGTTACTTGCTTATAAGATGTTGAACATAGTAATGCATTTTATTTGTCTTGTTCTTGATTATCAAAATAGCTTTTGGAAATTCTAATTTTTCCTAATGTTCTGTAAAATTCTGGGTTACTTTTATATTAAGTGGTTTTTTATTAACAGCACTTTGTCCTGATGGTTGGGAAATCAGCCCCAGTAAAAGCAAGTGTTTTCGACTAATAGCAAGCTCCCTTTCTTGGGATGAGTCAGAATCCCAATGTAAGGAATATTATGGGCACTTGGCAGCACTAACATCATCTCAGGAGCTAAGCTTTGCTGGAAAACTCTGTAGCACTACAGTGAATGGTTGCTGGGTTGGAGGAAGAGGCTTCAATTCTACTAGTGGTTTTAGTTGGAAGTGGTCTGACAATACAACTCATTGGAATGAGTCAATCTTCCCTGGGGCACCTTTTCGCTCCAATTGCTCAAATTCATCATGCCAGGGCATTAATCTGATTAATACATGTACCTTAGTGACTAATGGCCAGGCAACCCTTGTAGGCAAGAGATGCAATACCTCTCATGAGTTCATCTGTATGCTCAATATAGGTATTCACTCACTTTGTGCTTAATATCATTACAATCTTTTTTCCTCTTCATGTATATGACTTTGACCTGTATCTATCCACGTTTCTTCTTTGTTTTCCTCACATTTGCGTGTCTAATTATTACTTTTTTAAAGCAAAAGTTTCTCATCCTTATTATAAAACTTTTTGTCTATGACCAGAGAACAAATGCTACCACCACCGCTGTCACAAGGAATATCTTATCATCCTTGCAACTGTTAGTGGGTTGATCCTTTGTACAACTTTGGCTGTTGTGGTTTGGCTGCTTGCATACAGGAGAAGCAAGAGACGTAGAAGATCTCGCAAAGCATCTAATCCTTCGGCATCTGCATTAGTTCCTCCATCATGGAAAGTCTTCATCAATGAGGAGTTGAGATCAATTACAAAGAATTTTAGTGAAGGAAACCGTCTTGTTGGAGATGCTAAAACTGGTGGGACATACAGTGGGCTTTTACCTGATGGAACAAGGGTAGCAGTGAAGAGATTGAAAAGGTCTAGCTTCCAAAGAAAGAAGGAATTCTATTCTGAGATTGGAAGAGTTGCTAAGCTTCATCATCCTAATCTTGTAGCTGTCAAAGGATGTTGCTATGATCATGGTGACCGTTATATTGTTTATGAGTTTGTTGCTAATGGACCCTTGGATAGATGGCTACATCACATACCTAGAGGTGGGAGAAGCTTGGATTGGGCAATGAGAATGAGAATCGCAACAACTCTTGCACAAGGCATTGCGTATGTATTTAATTTTGTACCTCTTCTGTGGCATAAGCTAAATGTGCACATAAATCTGCAATTGTTCCTTCCAGTTTTTGCATTATAGCACTTTGTGTTTTTCTTCAAAAGTGCATGTAAGGATCCTTTTCTTGATTAACCATCTGTATTCACTTCTAGTTGCTTGGTTAGTAAAGGTTTTTAGTTCTATTTGAACCTTTACTCATAACATTCTGCATTCTGTGCATGAAGTTTCTGTTCACAATTGGTTGGATCATGGCTTCTCTGTTATAGTTCCTGATGCAAATCAGGAACTGAATGATGGTATGCCTTTCTTTTGTATCTAACTATGCTATTTATATGCCTAGTGACAGAACTTGGCTGTACTTGGGTGACTGTGGGTCTCCTTGTTTACAATTTATCTTTCTACCAGTTATATAAAAAGAGAAAGGATGATGGGGGGAGGGAGGCAGTTAAAACCAAGCGGTGAACCTGGAGACTTCTATAATAAGAACGCACTTGAGTTGATTTTGATGCATATGTGTCACAGATGATGTATTATTAATGTGAATGTTCTTTTCATCATTTTCTGTTTGTGACATTTTTCTTTTTTCTCTCTTTTTTTTTCTTCCTTTGAGCCCTCATGTAGCTTTGGTTTCAGTAATAAGAATGCACTTGAGTTGATTCTGATGCATGTGTCACAGATGATGTACTATTAATGTGAATGTTCTTTTCACCATTTCCTGTTTGTGACATTTTTCTTTTTTTTCTCTTTTTTTTAAAAAAAAATTTTCCGAGCCCTCATGTAGCTTTGATTTCAGTAATTTCCTGTTTGTATATTTTCTCTAACTTTACTTGTTTTGGCAGTTCCATGATGCGACTATCCTACCTCTTTATTAGTTCAATGCCATTATTTTATGGGGCTACACAACAGGGGTAGCCCATCTCCCAAAACCCACATCATCCCCAACCCAGGTGGAGGCGGGATTCAATCCCAAGTCACCGCTACAACCCAGAGACCTTACCAATTAGCCAGTTGGCACCTTACATATCATTCTAAATGCTGATCAGTACCATTAATTGTGCATCTCTATTATAATTAGGATATTAAATCTATGCCTTTTAAGTACCTGATAAGTCTTCTAATATTTCTGTGACTCTTCTTCATCTGTTATTTATAGATTCCTGCATGACAAGGTGAAGCCACATGTGGTGCATCGAGATATCCGTGCCAGCAATGTACTGCTTGATGAAGAGTTTGGAGCGCATTTGATGGGTGTAGGACTGTCAAAATTTGTACCATGGGAAGTGATGCATGAAAGGACAGTGATGGCGGGTACCTATGGGTACCTAGCTCCAGAATTTGTCTACAGAAATGAGCTGACAACAAAAAGTGATGTTTATAGCTTTGGAGTGCTGTTGCTTGAACTTATTAGTGGCCGTAGACCTGCCCAAGCAGTTGATTCTGTGGGTTGGCAAACCATATTTGAATGGGCTACACCTCTGGTGCAGTCTCACCGGTATCCAGAACTGCTAGATCCAGTTATCTCCGACATTCCTGAAGTTGGGGTCATACAAAAGGTGGTGGACCTTGTATATGCTTGCACACAACATGTCCCGTCAGTGCGGCCAAGGATGTCACATGTTGTTCATCAGTTGCAACAATTGGGATTGAAAACGGTGTGTGAAAAGGCAAGAAATGGTACAAGCACAAACACAAGCACAAGCACTACCTCTCGACTGTTTCCATTTGAGGTGGAGATTAACAATGTATAATGTAAGAGGCAAGCTCCAGCACAGAAGTAGCCCATACCCATTCACTCTTTTTAATATTGAAACTTTGGTCCAAACTTTGCTAATATAAACAATTTATTAGGATTTTCTGTCATACTTTAGTTAATACTTCTGGCTATTCTCTGGCTTTTTTTTTTTTTTCCTTTCTTTTTTTTTCCTGGGTTAGGATTGAATAGGATATTGAGGAGCATCTTAAGGGGAAAGATGAGATCCTTTCCCTGTATGAAATGGCATGGCCTGCCAATATGAGATTCCTGATTGAGAACTTCCATGTTACCTGCAAGTGAATGCTTAGTAACTTCTGATAAGCCCCACCATCATCTGACTGTTAATGGTACAATTAACAAATGGGCAGTGAAGATAGAGCGCAATAAAACTGAAAGGATTGCCAAGCAACTCTGTCAAATACCTGAGACAGACCTTGCCCCGTAAAACAAAACCTCACACTTTATTAGGATGCAAGAAGAAGAACATGTGTGTGCCAAAAAAAGAACATAAATAAACAAAACAAAACAAAAACACCCATCAGATCCAGTTAAAATTGGTGTGGGAGTGTGTCGAAGTGATAATCTCTATCTTCTTGAGCTTCTGACCGCACCAAGGGTAACAAAGCAAAATTGGCTGGCTGTGACTGAAGGCCTGAGGCCCTGCTTTCCCAAGAACAGAATCAACATCTAATGCATCAAGGAGCATGAGCTTTTGACTATGCCGATAGGGGTCGTTAATTTTTACAATACTGTACTAACTTCCCTGATAATAGGTTTAGGCGGATGATTCTATCCATCCAATCCGGTTCTGAAGTTTTTTCCAAGGCCTTAACTCAAGTCCAGCTGGAAGCAATTGCAAGTTTGTTGAATGCATTGGCTGGTTCATTGTGGTCGAGGCTGACCCCACCTGAGTACTGTAGATATCTACAGGATAGGAAAAAAGTGCTGTACAATTTGCCAAATTCTGAAACAATATCATTAACGAGGCAATTGAAGACTACCCAATGGATCCATCATCTAGTATTGGAGATGGAGCAAAATGTTTATTCGTTTCAATGCCAGAAATTCACAAACTGTGAAATGGGTGTTAAAAGATTGGGAAACTGCCACATATGTAGGGCAGTTGAAGATTCAACATTGACTTCATTTTACCAGAAATCGACCCTGATTGAGATCTTTGTTGTATACAACATAAATTCTAATGAAACGTTGATGGTAAACCTGAAGAGGCAAAAACCCACAGCAGTTTCAAACATCTGGGGAGAAACCTTGCTCTATAAAGCCTCAAACTCTACGGCACTAGATTATAGGATAGCGTTGCAGGCAGAGAAAGAACACAACCTTCTTGCTAGTAGCCATTGATGATGAGACCAGGAGAAACGTCTTCCATGCTTATGATCATAGCGTGTTTAGCCATGTTGGCTGTATCGAGTCTAGCTCATTCAAATCCCAACTGGTTTTTGACAGACCCTGAGGTTGTGAAGTGCTTGACCTCTCTGCATAGCGTTAAAGGGTGTGAGGAAGAAATTCTCAGTGCCTACTTGAGATTCCAACCGCGCTTTCTGGGACCTGCATGTTGCAAGGCTACGACTGAAATCAATGAGAACTGTTGGCCCAAGATGTTTTCCTACAACCCTTTCCTCCATCCTTTGCTCAAGGCCTATTGTGCTCTCCTACAAATTGCAGAAGGACCAGCTGAAATAACTTTTGCAACAACTTCTCATCCTCGCATAGTTGGTTAAAATTACCTTGACAAGGGGGAAGGTGCTTTTCTGATCATGGTTAGTGGATTAGTTGCATTAGAACCTAATCATGGATTTTGGTATAGTATTTTTTAGACGGAGAAGCTAACTTCTGTTCATCGTAGTTGGGTTAAATTAATAAGAGATCACCGTGCTTCTATGGAAGTAGTATATGAAATTCATCTCTCCCTCTCTCTAACGGAACATGGGTGCAAAATGACTCCTAATTCCTCTTTTTGGCGGCCCAAAGTATAGGAACAAATGAACAGATTGCCAAAAGCCTAATCCATCTTAAGCTTTGGTCCTCAACCGATTAAGGTTTGAAATTGCTCTACTTGTTTGATGATCAATCATTGTTCTTCTGGTTGGTAGAAGGCAATACTGTTTATTCACTTTTCTTTTTTGGAATTTCACATCTTTGTGATCACTCAGGAAGATTGGAAGAAAGGCAAAGGACGGTTGCCAAAGAAGATAAATTTTCCCATAAATCAACAAGAGAGACATTAATTAGGAAGACAGTATTTGTAAACTTCCAATTGAGCGTTTTTGTTGTTGCTTAAAAAAACCAACGTTCTTTTGATCCCACGACCACCTAACGTTACCAAATGGCACTTAATGCTCATAAAATAGAGAAAAGATTAATAGATGGATAAAAATAAGTAAAGGTTTCAACAAGTGAGAAATGTCAGCAACGGCAAGCAGGTTGGCTGCATATGGGATGTATTACAGATATGCATATGGTAGGGTCAATAAGCTGTTGTACATGCAGCTGGTAGAACCTAGAATTGCTCCAAACAAAAAAATAATTTTACATATAAATTTAAACATTAAAATGGTTAGGGCTGCTTTTGGTGTTTTTTTTTTTTGCCTTAAGCAGGCTTTTTTAGAAGCACTTATTGAGTATATGTTTGGTTGTGTTTACATTTATTGAGTAAATGGTGCCATATAGGCGTTCCATCAGTAAATGCCTCATTAATTGCATCTGTTTGTATTAATGTTTGTAAAAGTAAACATCGGTTTCTGTGCATCTCTCCCGTTTAAGGAAGTTTTATTTTGAAGCTTCTTGAAACGAATAGGTGTTTATTGACACTTTGCCGATGTGGTGCCTAATGACGCATATATGTCATAAGTGCCCTCATTAATTGCTTTTCTCGATTTTACAACCATACAAATACAAAACATTTGCTCAATAAACAAACAAAACCAAACAACCTCTTAAAAACATCCATTGGTAAGATGTTTTTTCTAATGAAACAGCAATTATTTGTGAACATTGCTTGATAGAAAACGGGTTTTTGCCAATATAAAGGGAATACTCTCCATTGTTTATAAACAAAAAAAAATGTATAAACAGCATTTTATGCTCATTAAACACTATTTTCTTTGCTGCAAATAAGTTGGCTGGAAATGGAACCTGGTTATAACCTGCTACCGCTGCAAGTGATAAAAATGAGAATAGAGAGGAAAGTGAGGAAGAAATGGGGGCGAGGGCTTTAGATTTAACAGGGGCAATCTGGGTATTTAAAAAAGTTTAAATGGACAAAACCAGGATGCAAAAGATGAAGCACTTCTTGAAAGCGCAAGAGGCAATAAGCCGCCCATCAAGGCATCAACTGCTTTTTCAAACGGGTTTTTTTGGGTGGAAAAAGCCCGTTTACTGCTTTTTCACCAAGCAATTTTTTAGGGTCCTCTTGGCTTCTAAAAATTTGAAGCTGGGCGAAACTTAACATGGCCTAGATACTTTGTTCTCCATTCAGATTTGAGCATATGTAACTTTATTTCTCAAGAAAATCAAGACTGATTTTCTGGTAAGACAAATTTATCCAGACTTTATAACATGTTTCAATTCATGGCAGTGGTCAGGAGGGCTACATTTTGCTACTTTTTTTGGTTCTGTAAGGCGGGTTGAAGAGGAACCTTCAACCACTGAGATGATTGGCAGCAAGCTGTGAAAAATCTTTTTTTCGAGATATGCTTTTCTTCCAAAGATACTTTTCACATTTTAAAGTTTGGGAAGTTGGAGACTCTTCAGTCCACTATATGCTGAGTTCTTTTTATTATAGACACATTTGATTACTCCTACAAAATACAGAACTTCCCTTCCAATATGAGCTACTTCCAGTTTATGCTCCAAATAAACTTGTCCTTGCTTCAGCAAGGCAACAAAACATTAGACAAGGAGCTAACAAGCCAATGATACAATGAATTCCAGTATTCAGCACTGACATTCAAACTGTCTCAATCCCAAGGAAAGTCTTTATTAACAATGTCAAGGCAGCTGGAAAGACGATTCTTCATGTCTTAACCAAACCTTATAATAGTTAAAGCTTCACTCGAGTTTGGCCTCTTCTCTCTTAGGGGGATCCAGCTGCAAATAATAAAATGGATCTGTTGGTTCCTCCCTGCAGGAAAATTGAGATGAATTAATGATAATAACCACAATAGCAACAACAGCTACTTTATTATGTACTAGGCCCCTCTCCATGGATCTCAAATCATGCAAGGCCCATTTATGGTGTAAACCAACTTCAATGAGCAATAGTTCAGTGGGTACTGAGGTATTAAATTACCAACTGTTAATGACATGTAATACTTAATACAAATGCTGGTATTGACACTCTTTTTTCCTTCTTTTGTTACCCCAGGAATTTATTATATTTTAGAAAACTCAAAATCCTAATCACAAGAATTTTGTGGTCTTGGTAAGAGTAGAGACTATTGGAGTCCATAATCAATATCTCTTCCAAACAATATTTTCTTACATGTTTGATGTTGTTATCCAGAAGAGAAGGAAGAAAGGAAGAGAGAAGAGAAAAGAGAGATGAAAGAAAGAGATTTGGAGTCACAAAAGGAGATGCTGGCGGTGTTAGCTTTTTATTAATGATAACCTTTCAACACTCCCTCTCAAGTTGGGACATAGATATCAACCATGCCCAACTTGTCACATAAATCATAATGTCGCAAGTGATGTAACCCTTTTGTGAAGATGTCTACAAGTTGGTCTTCAGAACTGACATAGGGAGTACACACTTCCCCTGTGACAACCTTTTATCTGATGAAATGTTTTTCAACTTAGATATGCTTAGTTCTATCATGCAGCACTGGATTAGCAGCGATTTTATGGCTGCTTTGTTATCATAGTAAAGAGTCATAGGTCCATCAACCGGAAAGCCCAATTCACTCAACAAATTTTTTAGCCATATAATTTCAGCCATTCCATGAAACATAGCCCGATATTCAGCTTCAACACTAGACCTAGTTACCACATCTGCTTTTGCTTCTCCAAGTAACTAGGTTCCCTCCTATAAAGGTACAATAGCCACTAGTTGACTTCCGGTCATTCAAGGATCCTGCCCAATCTGCATCGGTATACACTTCAACTTTCAAATGCCCGTGCTTTTGAAACAACAAGCATGCACTTGGGAACTTCTTAAGATATTTGAGAACTCTTTTTGCTGCTTCAAGGTGGGTAATCTTAGGGGCATGCATGAACTGGCTTAAGAACACCCACTGCATAAGCAATGTCTGCTTGAGTCATAGAATGATATAGCAGTCTTCCTACAAGTCTTTGAAACTGTTTCACATCCTCAATGGGTTCACCTTGACAATCTCCTAATTTGTAGTTAGGATCAATAGGAGTAGATCTAGGACATACTTTCTTTGGGAAATGAAGATACCCTTTTGTGAGTGGGCCACATTAATCTCAAGGAAGTACCTTAGAGGACCTAGATCCTTCACTTCAGACTGGGTAGCAAGGAAACTCTTCAACTTTTGAGTTTCATCATTCCAATCACCAGTGATAACCATATCATCAACATATACTATTAGTGCTGCAATCTTTCCTTCCCCTCTTTTCACAAACAATGTGTGGTCAGATTAACACTGTTTGTATCCCCTTTTCTGAACTGCTACATGGAATCTATTGAACCTGGCTCTCGATGATTGTTGCAGGCCATATAATGATTTTTTTAACTTGCACACTTTTTGTAAATGACCTTGAGCCCCGGAAAGCAGGGGGTTGCACCATCTATACTTCCTTTTCAAGGTCACCATTTAAGAATGCATTCTTGACGTCAAGTTGATGAAGATCCCAATCAAGATTAGCAACTAAGGAGAAAAGAAATCTAATGGAGTTCATCTTAGCAATAGGTGCAAAAGTTTCTGCATAATCCACTCCATACACTTGTGTAAACCCCTTTTCCACTAAACGAGCTTTATACTGCTCCACTGTTCCATCGGCCCTATGTTTTACTGTGAAAACCCATTTACACCCAACTGGTTCCTTCCCCTCAGGAAGATCTACAAGTTCCCATGTGCCATTTTTATGTAAAGCATTTATCTCTTACTTCATAGTATTTGTCCATTCAGGTATCAAAAGAGCTTCTACCACATTCTTAGGAATAGGAACACTATCAATGGAAGATAGAAAGGCCTGAAAGGAAGGTGAAATGTTCTCATAGGAAACAAAATGGGACATGGGGTGTTTAGTGGTGCAAGACCTAACACCTTTCTAGTAAGCAATAGGAAGGTTAAGGTCATCAGCAATAGAGGTATCAATGGCAATAAGGTCAGGAACATCAATGGGAACCAAGGTACCTGGTTGGGAAGGATCTACCCCTAGAAAGTTTGATGGCATTGGTGGTACAGCTTCTGGATGCTCCATAGATCTTGAACTCGGCTAGCCTTTGTGACGTCGAAAGAAAACCCGAAAGGGAGGAGGATCAAGAAGAGGAGGTAGTTGAACCAGTTTCTCCTCATTTCTACACTCCCCCTGAGGAGAAACAAGGAAGAAAGGCTCACTCTCAACTCTCAAAGAAAGAGACATCCATAGAAACATAATATCTACGAGAGACAGGATCAAAGCATCGGTACCCCTTTTGAGTGAGGGAGTACCTTAAGAAAATGTAAGGAATAGCACGAGGATCCAATTTTCCACGGTGGGCCAGATTTTGAACAAAGCAACAACAACTAGGGGTGATCATTTCAGTCCGGCCCGGCATGGAAATTCTGGGCTTGGGCCTGGGTTTTGTGTTCAGGCCCAATCCCACATCAGGCCCGCAAATTTTAGGCCAGGCTTGGGCTAAATACTTCAAGCCCGACCCGGCCCAACCTGCATATATTTAAACTTACACATTTTGTGTATAATGTATACATGTTATTTTGCATTATATTATATATTTTATATATAAATATTATAACATGACATGTATAATTGATATTATATGTAATATTTTATATTATATAATGTATAAAATAAGTTTATATGCATGTTATGTTATTTAATATATAGATACTTAACGTTTTATATATGAGTGACATTGGCCTGGAATTAGGCACGGCCCGACCTAGGCCCTATAAACTTGGGCTAGGGCTTATGTTTCAGGCCCGGAACCCCAGGCCGGGCCCGAGCCTAAGCTATAGCCCTTATCATAAGTGCAAAGCCCGACCCAGCCCATGATCACCCCTAACGACAACCAAACACACGTGGAGGAATAGAAAGAAGAGGAGCCTTAGGAAAAAGAAGCTGATGTGGGGCTTTGCACTCTAACTAGCGAGAGGGAATACGGTTAATGAGATAGGTAGCATAAAGGACAGCCTCAAGCCAAAAACGTTTCGAGACATTCATATGAATGAGTAAACCCCTGTTCACTTCAAGAAGGTGTCGGTTCTTTCTTTCAACACCACCATTTTGTTGTGGTGTTCGGGCACATGAGCTACGGTGAAGTAATCCATGCAAAGCAAAGAATTCCATGAGGTCATTATGAAAAAATTCTTTGGCATTATCGGATTGGGAAATTTGGATCTCAGTTTGAAATTGGGTGAAGATCATGTGGTGGAAATCTTAGATGATTTTTGGTACTTCATCCCTGGTTCGCATGGGATATATCCATGTGCATTTGGAGTAATTATCAATAAAGGTAATAAAATATTTGTAGCCACTGTCGGACGGTAAAGTAACAAGGCCCCAAACATCAGAATGAATAATATGGAAAGAAAATTCAGATTTATTATTCTTTGAAGAAAAATGGATTCTACAATGCTTACTCAATTGACAAGTTTGACATGTAAACTGTAACACTGACATTGACTTAAATAACTCTGGCAACACCAATTTTAAAGACTCAAAAGACAAATGACCAAGACGATTGTGCCATAAATAGATCTGACTTGTACTAGACTGACTCTTAGACTCTATGACTGTAAGACCGACCTTATTCTCCAGCATTTAGAGTCCATCCACCATACGTCCTCTACCAATCGTCTTCCCCAAAGCCAAGTCCTGGAGTACACAATAAGAAGGGAAAAAGTTACTGAGCAGTTTAAAGAATTAGTGATACTATTAATAGAGAACAAATTAATAGGAAATTTTGGAACATGTAAGACATTAGTCAGGGTGAGGTCAAAGGGAAGAGAAATGGTTCTTTGACCAACTATGGTAGAATATGAACCATCAGCTAGTCTCACCTTGTCTCTTCCAGAGAGGAGGTGATAGGTCTAGAAATAAGTGGACTTACCAGTCATATGCTTTGACGCTCCAGAATCAATTATCCAAGGAGAGCTAGGGGAATGAAACGATACATGGAAAGGTGTGGCAGAGTTAACGTGATATAGACACAAATGAAGTTGAAGGAGGAGAAGAATCCATCTAACGAGGTCGCAGAAGGAATTAATAATATCCTCCCTCGGGTCAGAACCAGAAGTGTGTCTGAGTCATAATAGTAGTAGGGGGTTGATTCTCCTGAGAAGCCATATTTGTTGTGGTGAACTTTCTTGGACTTTGCTGTCTTGACTTCTTATTCAAATTTGAACCTTGCTTCTTGCTTAATTCTTGGGCCCATTTTAGCTTCCCAGTGGTCTAGTGTTCAGTTCTCGTCACCCCCATTATAATTAGTTAAGTGTACAAGGTATGGGTGGGCCTGTGCTGTCCATGCTTCAAGCCCAATGGGCTCTCGTGTGAGAGGGCAGTTCAGAATAGGTCGATTTTGCCTACTCCCAAATCTCATAAGCAGTTTCAGGCCACATAAAGTTCCTTCTCACCTGAGGTTGCATAGACACCAAAAGCCAGGACATAACCATACTGATTTCCTGGTTCCATCTGTTATACTCGGCACTCCCGGAATTCGGTTCTTTAATTTTCCCATTTATATACCCAATCTTTCTCCTTGCAGTAATGTATAACTTGATCCCCCTCGACCATTCTAAATAATTCAAGCCATCCAGGGGTATAACAACCATAGGGAAGGATAAATCTATACCCCCACTTACTCCGTTCTGCATTGAGGAGACTCCAGATGTGGCAGAGTCTTCACCATTCATAATTACAACTCCAGGTTACACTCCAAGTGAACACAAAAAACCAAAAACAAACAACCGAATACCCCAATAAAAAACTTTGCACCAGGGAATTAGAGACAACCACTCCCCTCCTTTCCCCCCTTTTAAATCTCCGTTCTTCAAACAAAAACAGCTGCTGCTACAGAACTCACGGGTCATCACTGGCCTACCATAAATCAGGTATGGCTGCTGTCGCAGCATGTACAGGTCCTCTCTTGACCTACAAATCAAGTGTGGTTGCTGTTGCAGCATATACAGGTCATCCCCTGACCTACAAATTCATCAGAAGGCTGCTGTCGCAGCATATAAAGGTCATCACCAACCTACAATCTGTTACAGGGATTAGCCGACCCCACAAAAAGGAAAGAAGAGGGTGCTGCTCACCTCACATTAACTAACTGAACCTATTACAGGTTCTGTTCTGACACACAACCAGAAAAAATAAAAAAGGAGAAAGGGAGAGAGAGTACTTTAGTTCGATCTGAATCTGGATCTGGATCTTCAATAAATCTCACTATAGCTGGCGAAGGAAGAAGACAGAAAAGGTTTGCTCGATCTCTTGTTTCAGATCTGATAGTCCCGCTCTGATACCATGTTATCCAGAAGAGAAGAAAAGAAAGGAAGAGAGAAGAAAGAAAGAGATTTGGAGTCACAAAAGGAGATGCTGGCGGCGCTAGTTTTTTATTATTTATACTAGGGCAACACAACTTAAAATAAAAGGTGCTGAAAGTACCAAAGTACCCCTGCGGTACTAAACTTACAGAATAATAACCTTTCAACAGATGTTTCAACTTTCAAATACATGTGTATGCTTTTATGTATTTCATATATTTACCATTATAATTTTAAATTAAATAAAAATGATTCTTATATGTCAGATAAGTAGCTTCCCCCATGTTAAGCATGAGGACATTGATTAACATTTCTAACTTGAACAAAAAAGAAATAAGGGATAAAGTTTATTTTTCCACTGTACCCTGGTTTAGAACGCATGCACTGCCAGAAGAGCTTGAAAGGGCCTGGAACTGTTTTAAATGGGTTTCCCTCAAAGCAAGCCTACAGAGTTAACAAGAAAAACAAAACACGTGTTACAAATCGCTAATTCAAGCAGCTTAAACTATAACATTTGATGATAAATTATAACACAATTGAAAGGAAAAATATCAAATCAAGGGGCTTTTTACAAATGAAGAAGTTAGCCACCTCTTAATAACACAGTCAACAATGCTGCTTGAGCATCATGATTCATGGGGGATTAAATGAGAATAAATTCATGAATCTTGGCAAAAGTCAATATATTTGATCTATGCAGATTTTCGGAAATATCCTTGCCACCCAAAACTATATTCAACAACAAAGCAACTTTAATAAGAAAGAAAATACAAGAAAGCCAATAGAACAACCAAAAGGAAGGATAAAGGAAGCAGTTAAGATAGCAAGTGTTTGCTTTGTCTGGCAGATCAAGCCTACAATCAACAGTACCAACTTAACTCCACTTTTAGCAACTTATTTAAAAACACAATAGGGTGATGCATTCATCTTTCTATTACTATGATAGTCACCCTGAGTGTATTTCCCACCAAATAAATATATATTGCTAAAACAGTAAACTAGTATATAAAGAGGAAAGTTCCAAATAAGAAAAGGTTGTCTAAACAGGAAGCTTTATATAGAAAAAAGGTTAAAAAATGTTATCTAAGTTGGCAATTATTTCATATCAAATCATTAGGTCCATATCCAGTCCACCCCTCCAAAATCCCCAGATAGCTGGGGCCAACATTGAGTAGTGGACCCCATTTTAATAAAATCAAACTTTATTAATGAAGAGGAAACCCTTGTCCACTATAAAGAACCAGTTGTGAGGACACTACAACGGTAATAAAACAAACAGCATATAGATCATAGAGATAAGACAAAATGTAATGCAATTATCAGGTCATATTTGATTATCCCCAGATCATTATTTCTCTAGTTATAAGATAAAGTTTTTTTTTGTCACAACAACAAAAAGGCCATTACCCAATGCTGCTCCTAGCCATCTGGGGTCTTGGGAGGGGTAGACTGGATAGGTCCTAACCTTCAACACAAAGTTTTTTCATCACAACAATGTTACAAATTACTAGGAGTTCACATAAAGGTACTCCAAAGCCTTGTAGAGCCTAATGACATATGTAACAGCCTATCAATATAAACATTTTAAAACGGGAAACTCATTGTGAGTTTAATATTGTCTCTAAAAATCATCATTGAGCATCACACTTTGTTCCCCACACTTTCCTATAGGTAACTGTATGCATTCATTTTCTGTCAAACCGAAAACATGATCAAAAATTTTAAAACAAATGCTTTTGGTCTGAATGCCATTGACTGAGAATAGATGGAGAAAAGATGAGATGAATTGGGATCCATGGAGATGAAAAGTGTGGAACTTTAAGTAAAAGATGAGCGGCTAGGAACCTTTCTATGTAATTTAGTTGATGAGTCTCTAGAGGAGTATGCTGGTCAAGAGGAGAGATATTCTGATGAGAGAAAGTAGGTTGATCTGAAAATTCAGAGGAAGGTTGGAGGGTAGAAATATCCTTCTTCCACACACCCTCATTTTAAATTAAATAGGTGATGTACCAAATGATCAGTGAAGAATGTGAGAGAGATGGCAATTCTGCATAAAAAGTGCAGAATTTGGCTGTGTTTGGATCAGAGAGGAATTGGAATTGTCAACTCTGTCATCTGTGGATTTGCAAACTCCACAGGTAGCAAAATGTATAACCCTATTTCAAATGAAATGGAGAGGAAAGTCATTTCAATTTCTGAGAATCAGCACATAAATGGAATGCAAATCCAAATCCACTCTCCAATTCAAATTCAGCCTTGACTTGAAGAAGACAGAGAAGATCAAATCCTTCTATCATTATAATCAGGAATGTAAGATTCCAAAAATAGATAACCATTTGGCTAGAAATATGTGAGATGCAAGAGAAAGAAGTTAGGCAGGTGCAAAGATCAAACATACTTATCTATTCTACTCTTTTCTTTTCTTTTCTTTTTTTTTCATGTTAAGCTTTCTCAATCTACCTGCCTTGATCCACTTCCTGCTATGCCCTACTCTACGCACAAAGCAGATCAAACAAAGGTCAAGATTAAATTTAAAGAGAGGTCCAAGTAGGACCCAAACCTATCCTGTTGCCATTCTAGGTATTGTAATCTCAATATAGTTCAGGCAATAAATTAAATGTAACATGTATTGAAGAATATGAAATCCATAAGCACACCAATTCTAATCTATTAATTGAAAGCACACATTCAACCATTTAAGTTTAATGCTGGGATCAGGTTTCTTTTGGAGGTCTGGGGTTAAGGAAGGTCAAACTGTTTAACAAAGCTCTCTTGGTCAGCTGTAACATGTATTGAAGAATATGAAATCCATAAGCATGCCAATTCTAATCTATTAATTGAAAGCACACATTCAACCATTTAAGTTTAATGCTGGGATCAGGTCTCTTTTGGAGGTCTGGGGTTAAGGAAGGTCAAACTGTTTAACAAAGCTCTCTTGGTCAGCTGGCTCTGGAGATTTGCTATGGAGCCAAACAATTTGTGGAGGAAGGTTATTGCTGAGACGTATTGTTTGTGTAGCAATGGATGGGATACAGAAATGCCCCTTTCATCCTACGGCTGCAGCTTGTGAAAGGGAATATCAAAAACCTTCAGTAGTTTTAGTGAGGGGCTGCATTTCAAAGTCAGGATGGGAAGAAGGTGAGATTCTGGTTAGATTTTTGGTGTGGCGATTTTGCTTTAAAAGACAGATTTCCCTCTTTGTTTAACATGGCAGATAACAAACTGGTTAGGGTGGCAGACTACTATGAGGTGAATGGTAATTCAATTTGCTGGAGCCCTACCTTCAGAAGGAGTTTTCAATGATTGGGAGATTAATCAAATTTCTGATTTGTTAGCTCTACTGCAGAACCAACTTCTGGATGTGCAGAATCAGGACTCTAGACTTTGGAAGTGGACTTCTACAGGGGTTTTCACAGTCAAATCTTTTTACAAGGGCCTAGTTGGAGATTTGGGGAACCCTTTTCCCAGCAAGGCCATTCGGGGTTCAGCTGCACCTTCTAAAGTGAAATTCTTTACTTGGGTAGTCGCTCTAGAGAAGCGTCTGACTAAGGAAATCCTCTTGAGGAAGGGGTACCCTATCCAAGACAGACTGTGTGTTATGCAGCAGGAAGGGTGAGTCAGTAAGCCATTTGCTCTTGCATTGCAGCTTCAGCTCAGCTGTTTGGAGCCACTTTTCAAGGGCTGCTAATCTGCATTGGTGCTGTCCCTTCTCAGTCAAGACCTTTCACAAGAATGGGGCATTCTGGGCTTGTCAAGGAAAGGCAGAGTTTGTTTGTCAGCAGTTCCTCTAGCAGTCTTGTGGGCCATCTGGTCAGAAAGAAACTTGAGGATTTTCGAACAGAGAGCATCACCAGAATATGTGGTGATTAATACTGTATTTTAAAAATGATACTTTCTCTTCCTTTTTGAATGTAGATTTATTTATTTATTTATTATTATTTTTTTTTGGGGGGGGGGGGCTTAAAGTTTCATTTGGTACATAATCTCATGTACATCCTCTTAGTATTAATGAAATTATACTTTACCTGTTTCAAAAAAAAAACATTTAAGTTTAATGCTGACCACGGATCACCAAATTAACACTAGAAAGGCATAAGCGACTCCTTTCTTGATTTCTCCTTTCCCTGATCATCTTCATTCATTCTCCTTTAGAAGATCTGAGACTAAATCATTTAGAAAAGGTTGTGACACCTGGATCTCTTCAAACTGTCTGTGTAGGCCACCCATGCATTCTATTATAACTAATTTTCGCATGAGTTGAAAGCAACTCACAAGAAGGTAGGTGCCTCAGTTGAATGGAGACACATGAGCTACTTAATCTTACAAAAGGGCAAGAAAATAATGATTTATGTTTGGAGCTACTTATTCCAGTTATATACACAGTTATTGGAAATTGATAAGTAAATGTGTGATGTGTGATGCAATGGAAATGGCATAGCATCATCTGGTGAACAGCAGTTAGGATACCCAGTTTTCCCAAGATCTTAAATTGAAACCGATAGTAGCTCAGTTATAAATTTTGGCCTAGTGGGTACTGAAGGAATTTCATTGAAGCAGGATAGATTTCTAGTTTTATTTTAAGTTTGGTTTATTATGGATAATTACAGGGCTGGAGTTAAATGAGGCAAAAATAAAGGATTTACTTTGTGGAATTCGAATCACCAAGGCAAATGGTTTTAGGCTTTTAGCCCACTGCCACTTTTGCTAGAGGTGATTCAAGCAATGCCATTACATAGGCCAAAGGTGAAGCTTTCATCTTGGAAAAGAGAGAATATATAATGGCAGCCTTATGCCATATCACCTGGGATGTAAAGGTGTTCTTTCTTTCTGACGAAATTAAAAGTTGCTCATAAAAAAGGGAGGGAAAGAGAGGCGTGTTACATGAACAATCATTCAAAGGATGCAAAGTCATGGAAATAGATTGATTTAAATGAGAATATGCAATAAGCAGTTACTGCAACTCTTAATCAAGCAGAACACTAATAAAGATTTCTGATAAACAGAAAACGAACAAAGTAATAAAGCTAGTGAAACGCGTAGAGCATCATAAGTCCACTCCCTCCACGGACCCAACTGGAATTCATGATGATCTAAGAGCTTAAACTCTGCACATTACCTGGATTACATCCTCAACTCGATCATTACACCTGTGCGCCTGCGGTTGCCGATTATCTCCCTCCGGCAACCCCCATGGACTCTCTCTTCGTGGTACAGGTCTCGAACTCATCCCAACATACACTTTGCACAAACAGAGCGAAAAGGTCTTCAGTCTTCTGGGATTCAAGGTAGGACCGAGAGTCTAGACCTACTGCGCGTATAACAGACCGTGGCCGTGAGATGAACACTCTGTGGGTGCTAAGTGGTTAATTACCGAAATAACCCTATATAAAATGACATTAACACCCATCAATCCACCGTCTTGAGTCTCAAAACCAGAAAACCTTTCTCTGGTCTTCAATTCGTCGGGCTTCAAGTTCCGCAGTCTCGGTGCAAGTCAAGCGAGCATCCCGTCGATCAGAGCAAGATGGAACCTCCGTCGGTCATGGAGGAAGACGATGACTATGTCGAATACATCCCGGTGAAGAAGCGCCGTCTCATGGAAGCTCAGAAGATCCTCCAACGCAAGGGCAAGTCGTCAGCGCTCGAAGACGAAACCGAGCGGGCCAAACTTGCCGAAGCCAAACCCAGCCTCCTTGTCAAGGCTTCCCAACTGAAGCGTGACCTCCCTGAGATTAGCCCTACCGAGCAGCTCGTCCAACAGGAGAAGGAGATGATCGAACACCTCTCCGACCGAAAAACCCTAATGTCGGTACGCGAGCTCGCAAAGGGCATTACGTATACGGAACCGCTGGTGACGGGATGGAAGCCTCCGTTGCATATTCGACGGATACCGCAGAAGGAGTGTGACTCGATCCGGAAGCAGTGGCATATACTTGTCGACGGCGAAGATGTTCCGCCGCCAATTAAGAATTTCAAGGATATGCGGTTGCCGGAGCCGATTCTGAAGAAGTTGAAGGCTAAGGGAATCGTGCAGCCCACGCCTATTCAGGTTCAAGGGCTTCCGGTGATATTGTCGGGGAGAGACATGATTGGGATTGCCTTCACGGGTTCTGGGAAGACATTGGTTTTTGTCCTGCCATTGATTATGGCGGCTTTGCAGGAAGAGGTGACGATGCCGATTGTTCCCGGAGAAGGGCCTTTTGGGTTGGTGATTTGCCCGTCAAGAGAGCTCGCTAGACAGACGTATGAGGTTGTTGAGCAGTTTTTGATTCCACTGAAGGAGTCTGGGTATCCGGAGTTGAGACCATTGCTTTGTATCGGTGGTGTCGATATGCGGTCGCAGCTGGAGGTTGTGAAGAAGGGAGTACATATTGTTGTTGCCACGCCTGGGAGGTTGAAGGATATGCTTGCCAAGAAGAAGATGAATCTCGATAATTGCAGGTACGAACTACAAATTCCAAGCTTCTGATTCCTTTAAAGCTTTTGCTTGCATATATCCGTGATTCTGGATTTATTAGTGTTTACATATAATTCAGTTGGTTGATACTTAGGTTAGTAGGTGCCTATTTAATCTATAAAGGCATATTTAGACAGGACAGAAAATTGCTTTCTGTACAATTAATTCACCATTAAATTTTCACACTATCCAGATTCAATAAATTCTTAGGGGTTAATTGGTATTTTTTGAAGAGGCCAGTTTGAATGTACAAATCCAAACTTGATTTCTCCAAGAAAGGATGCTGGTAAAAGATAACCTTGGATCAGGAAAAGATGGGGAAGATTGATAAAAAAAAAAAAAAGGAAAAGATTGGGAAGATGATTGTTCTGCTTTCTACTTATTACGGGATTTAGGCAAATTTCATACATTTGAAGGCTCAAAAGACTTTTTTTTTTTCTTTCATTTGGCCTGAACAGCCAGCATTACTCTTAATTTATCTTTATTGGCTGTCTAGTTTTTAATTTGCATTATCACATATTTACATGTTTCTGACATATAATATCTATATTTGGATTAGAATTCAGAATTGTATATTGATATTTCCATTTTATACAAAAAAAAACTTGGAAAAGGTGGCCTCATCTAACTGAAAGTGCCAGTTTTATATTTAGTTGAAAATTTTCTCCATGGAAATTTTGATAGGGCAGACAGGAATTTCATTGATGAACTTCCATAAGCTGGCAGTTAATCTCGCTGGTTCTTAAATGAATTTACCTGATGTTTTCATAATTCATATTGCTATTTTACTTTTATAATCTAACTTCTTGAACTAGTATAGTTTTGTAATAAATTTTCTTTTATGGAGTGATTCTTAATACGTTGTCCTCACTATATTATTCTATCTTCAGGTATCTGACATTGGATGAAGCAGATAGATTAGTGGACTTAGGTTTTGAAGATGACATAAGGGAGGTATTTGACCATTTTAAAGCTCAAAGACAAACTCTTCTTTTCTCTGCCACCATGCCAACAAAGATCCAGAATTTTGCAAGGAGTGCTTTGGTGAAACCTGTCACAGTTAATGTTGGAAGGGCAGGAGCTGCAAACTTAGATGTCATACAAGAAGTGGAGTATGTGAAACAAGAGGCTAAAATAGTTTATTTACTTGAATGCCTACAAAAGACACCGCCTCCTGTCTTGATATTTTGTGAGAATAAAGCTGATGTGGATGATATCCATGAATATCTCCTGCTGAAAGGAGTTGAAGCAGTTGCCATACATGGCGGCAAGGACCAAGAAGAAAGAGAATATGCAATTGCATCTTTCAAAGCAGGGAAGAAGGATGTCTTGGTAGCAACTGATGTCGCTTCGAAGGGTTTGGATTTTCCCGATATTCAGCATGTCATCAATTATGACATGCCTGCAGAAATTGAGAACTATGTCCATAGGATTGGACGAACAGGAAGATGTGGAAAGACAGGAATAGCAACTACATTTATAAACAAGAACCAAAGCGAGACCACACTTCTGGACCTGAAGCACCTATTGCAAGAAGCCAAGCAGAGGATCCCTCCAGTGCTGGCTGAACTTAATGATCCAATGGAAGATATCGATGCCATCACTAATGCCAGTGGAGTGAAGGGTTGTGCATATTGTGGTGGGCTTGGCCATCGTATCCGTGACTGTCCAAAATTGGAGCACCAGAAGAGTATGGCGATTGCCAATTCAAGGAGAGACTATTTTGGTTCAGGGGGCTACCGAGGAGAAATCTGATCTCTGTGTTTTGTATGTCTGGATGTGCAAGCCTATTTTTCAATCAGGGGATATACTATTACTGAAACTTTGTAACTTGTATGGCAATGTAATAATTCTATTTTTTTTTATTGTTAGAAGTATCCGGCCTTAGGTTGTGCTTACATTCTAATTGGTCTCATGAGGTCATGATACTGCACTTTGGAATATCCAGTAAGAAGGCATTCTAATAATATCTAATTCAATCTTCTTTTTCTTGTTGAAATCTTGTACCACTACATTCCTCCACACTATTTTCTGTGAGGTTTCCTCTATGAATCATCCATTCATCTTCTTTCTCCCAATTTTAGATTTGAAATCAACACTTGTTAAATCTGAACTATTCTCATGGTTTTTAAAACCAACCTGGTGACGGAACCGGTCAGGGGTCCGGTTATCGGGTTGAACAGTCTGACCGTTCGAACCGAACGCTCGGCCCATTCTGACAGGAAAATAAAAAAAAATTCAAAAAAATAAAAAACGGTCAAAACCGTTCAAACGGTTAACCGCCCAGTTCAGCGATTTGCTGACCAAAATCAATGATTTTGGGGGGGAATCCGGTTTTTGGGGAAAATGGAACCGGTCCCAGTTTTTCCAGTCCTATCATCTGGTCCGGTCCGGTTTTGAAAACCATGAATATTCTTTCCTCCCTTGGTGAACTGAACCCTATAGGATTTTATTTTTCCCATCGACAAGACAATCAACCAATTCGTTATTTCTTCACTTGATTCATGAGTTTGACTCCCATGATTGATGGAATCAAACTACATTCTCATCCCATACAAAAAGATGCTATGAAACTATAGTTTTGCATTATGTTATCCAACGTAAGCCGCTGCATTGATGAACCTGAAATCCTGAAATCCATAGAGAACTGAAACCGTCAAACCATTTGTTATGTTCACTTCTTTGTGGATTCTATTTCGGGAACTTGCAGAGGTGGGATCTCTGCCTTCATGTGAAAAAAAATTATTTTGGTGGATCATGGGTGAAAAACTCTTGGTTGTATTTTCTGTCTCAGGGCTACATCATTTATGGTTGGCTAAATAGGTCTTAAGGTCCTCGTTAAATAGGAAACATAGATTTCATGGTGGGCACAATGGTTAGGAGTTTAACCTGTTGGTGCAGGTGCACACATCTTGAGTGTCTGGACAATCTTTCCTTTTAAGTAAGGAGTCTCTTTCTCTCTCCCACAATTTTCTCCTTTCTCTTGTTCCCTTTTTTCTGCTTTGCTGTTTAGTAGATAAGATGATAATATGAGAACAGAACCAAAAGCGCAAGGGTCAATTGCTGAAACTGCAGTTAATACCAAATAGAAAAAAATGCTCAAATTGCAGTATCTCCTATGTGTACAGTTACAGAAACTAAACACAACTGAGAAGAAAGAATATCCAGAAAACACTCATCCAAACTTGCCACGATGTCATCATGACGGAGTTCAACTCTTGTTAAACAGATTGCAAGACATATTCATTCAAGGAATAGCATTCAATCCATGGCTTCCATTTGAGCATCCTTGAGTCACTCCAGAAAGGTGCTGTAATGTGAAGGCATTGATTTTAAGTACTCTAGTGATCAGAAGGGGACTTGCCCCTTGCTGTAGAACTTGTGGCAGACCGCTTCCTGTGGCATTATCCTGTTCATACACATGCACAATTATTTATCAGAACAAAAGCAGAATACTAATAATGGGATGAAAATTGGTCAGGGGGTCGGTCTTAAGCCTGCCTACCCCCTGAAACTGGTCAAAACCCTAAAATCCCCTTATTTAGAACATTGGGGTCTTGCCGATACAATACGATATGCCGGATATAGTATCGAAATTTTGATCCTTGGGCATGCTTTGCCTAGTTAATTTGACACAGTTCTGCAACTCAGGAGAAAGTGGTTTGTGAGTTGAAATTTAGAGAAATACCAAAAGACAAAGTTCTGTAAGAGGGTTTGCATTATTTTTCCTTTTATTAGTATAAAAACAGATTTTAAGGCATCAAAATGAAAGCATAAGAAAAGAATACCATAACCAAATTGCCCAAATCAATCTGACTGAACTGATTGGAGTAATGCAAACCATGGAAGTTTCAATTTTCTAGGCTTTTACAAGAGGTTAGAAGGTGTCTCATAAACTTGAATACTAAATACAGAAGCAGTGAAATGTCAGAAAGAATTATTTCTTGAACATAGAGAATAATGAAAGAAATAGGACGCAGATCATACCTCATTACCGCTTAGGATCAGATCACACTCCAGAGAGTTTCCTACTGCTGTTTGATTTCTTAGACATTGATGTATGATTTGAAATATCTTCCATATCTCATTCATCAACTCCTCTCTTTCATCCATAGCCCCAGACAAAGCTTCTTTTAGATTCTTGGTATCTTCTTCTTCAAGGATCAGAGGAGTCCGAGCACACTCCAGAGGTTTTCCCTCTGTTTTTTTATTTCTTAGACACTGATGCATTGTTTGAAATATCCTCCCAATCTCATTCATCAATTCATTTCTTTCATCTATAGCCTTTAAAAACGCTTCTCTGAAATTCTTGGTATCTTCTTCAAGAATTTGCAATCTCATATCAAGTTGTTTGATCGCACTGAGCCTCAGCCGTATCTTATCCACATTAGAATGTTTGCTAGTCCTACTTCCCGAGTCTCCGGATGAATTCTTGCTCGTCTGGTTCGAATTTGAAGACCTGCAATTTGTTCTACAGTCTTTCCCACATGAGCTTGCACCACCTACAAGAGTGCTAACCACGAAAGATGACGATGAATTAACAGTGCAACACCGACTTCCTGTTGATACTCCTTCCTCTGATTCATTGTCACCAACACCTCTCTTACAAGACTCTCTTTCCTTATGTTTCATGACCACTGATTCATTGTAAAATTCATCCTTTTCATTGTGAAAATTCTCCATGATCCCTGCAGACTTTCAATTTCGATTAGTTTTGCTTCTTGGGCTTGATTTTTAACCAGGGATTTGTCGCTTCCGTTTCCTGGCGGTACAAAATTCCTTCAGATTTCTCAAAGGAAGATGATCTTTCTGCCTCCATTTATCATAAATTGAGCTCCCATCATCTATGATTCGTAAACTAATGAAACAGAAAGCAAAGCAAAATGAAAGGGAACCAGAAAAGTCAAAAAATATGTAATGGGTATAGTACTTGCAAGTCTAACAAACATGGCGACTGCTTACAGTGATGGAAATCATGGAATTATTACTACTCGAAGCTTGATTCTTGTGGAAGTTCGCAGACATTATGGGCATTCATATAAAGTCGAACTTAGAAATCTGGTTGAAGAATGAATAATGGTCGCTTACCACAGAGAGCTGCAGAGGCAGGAAGAGAGGAAGAAGCATCCTGGGTTTACATGCTTCTTCTGTAAGCATGAGAGTGAGAGACTAATAGATGGAACCAACTAGACCTGGCAAAAAGTTGATTCAATCCAACCCCAAAAAACAGGGTTAGGGTCTCATATTTAGGCTTAGGTACTGAGTTTGAGAATGACCCGACCCAAGCCCGAAAAAAACTGGATTGGGTTGGGTTGGGTCATGGATCAATCCACTGACCCAATTATCAGGTCTAATTGGAACTATTTATATATTGTTAGAAGATTAGAAGTTTTCACTCTTTAATCTTTACTATTTAGTCTCCCGTTTATTTGTTGAATTACTGAATGTTCAAGTTTTCTATTTTATTTTTGGAATTGTAAGGTTAATTTGTTAATTTTATCATTTTTTATGTATTTTTTCTTTATTTTTTTAAATTTCAGTTATTTTTAGGGATGACCCAAATTGACAGGTGGGTCAATCTAACATTTACAGATCGAACCCAAAATTCAATTCAACAACCCGAAGAGTCTTGACCCAACCCAATTGCCATGTGTAGAACCAACCAAGCAGAAAGAATTTTGGTTCAAAATTGTGTTATTTCCACATTTGGGCTTAATTACTGGTTAGTGATAGGCCCATTTCATCATTTCATTTAATGTGGATGATAATAATCTTCATATCACTATGGCCCATTGAATAGTGGGAGGCGAGTCCAAACTGTTTCGTCAATTGCTTCCTTCATTCTTCATGTGCTTGGCATGATATTGTGTTATCGTGTATTGCTCCTCTCTCTCTCTCTCTCTCTCATCATTCTGGTTTTCTGATGTAAGTTCTTTATAGGGAGAATGACTGATCTCAGAATTCTTTACCTCCACCATACAGGGGATAAATTCTGACCGTGAATTGATGTCAAATCTATCAGCAGGATGCGATTTATAGGGGAATTACTTAATAGACTATGAGGGGCTGTAATTCAGAATTCTACAGTGAGATAGAGAGTAATGTGCTAATTTTCATTTAACAAATCTCAGCCGAAAGGACGATCAAGGCCATGTGATGCAATAAATTGGGTGGTGACACAAACCATACCATCAGCAGATTCAGCACATGTTTCTCTCGAGGTCTTTAGGGTCGGTTAGTAGTTAGTATTCGTCTTTATAGCCTCCATCCTTACTGGGCCGAAAGGAACCCTAAAGTCCGTTGTCCATCCCAAAAGTCGCATTCCAAATTACCGAGCTTCCAGGGAAGCCCAAAACATCTCCCAAAGCCCATTAACCACAAACAAAAATGAAATAAAATAATTAATAAATTAAAATAACACTCTGGAGATTATTTTTATTGGAGAATAAGGAGTATCTGGATTTGTATACCTATTTTTACCTTCAAACCAAGCACATCCTTGGTGAAAGTGCGTAACAACTGTGAATTCTCAATGCTATGCGCTCTGTTTATTTGCAATGCATTTTCATTTACACTAGTACAAATACATCATCATTATATAATATAAGCCTTATACCAACTATATGGGATTGGCTACATAAATGCTGTTTTGTCTTGATCAATGAATAATTAAAACATTTCTAACTATTTCAACCCACGTCCGTTTTGGTTTGCCTCTAGCCTTTCCATACATTCACGGATTCACCTTGCAACTTATATTACAGGTAGATGTGCAACTTGGAGGGGGCTCGAATTGGGCTTTTGAACAGCCCTGACCCAAAAGCCCGAGCCTGAAACAGATTAATATGCTAACCTGGGTTGGCCCAAGTTGCACCCCTACTAACACATGCTGTAGATAGTCTTCTACCTACGCATGTGATCAAATCGTTTAATCACATATTCGTGTTAGTTTTCAGTTCTTTCAAATGACTTTCATGGTTGACTGCCCAAAATTCTGTTTTATATAGTATTTATTACTGGTCTTAAAACTGTTTTATACACTAGCACAAATATATGAGACTGCATATTCTGGTTGACTTTGTGTTTCGGCTTTTGTTTAGATTCAGGTTTTATTTATTCCACCTAAGCTGCAATCGACCAAGGTAAAAGTCAAAGCAAAAACTAAATCAGATTTTCTCTATACATTGGATACAATTTTGAGAGTTCACTGCAACCTCTGTCACAGCATTTTCTTGCAACTATCCAATGAAACACGGACATGTTAACGATCTTAACCTAAAAGCAGATCACCTCATATTTTGAATTATAATACAACGGTGTCCATATTTTATTGGGAGTCACAATAAAAAGTTGCGGCCACAATCAAAATGTTACCAGAAATTCAGTTATAAAAAGCATCAAATGACCCAAGTCTTCATATGTCACTAGGAGTGTTCACTACCGTACACCATATAATGGGGCGTTCAGTTTCGTGTGGAACATTCTACTGGTCACACCTCAATTTATCGGCCACCCTCATTTTTGTTACTCTTTTAACATATTTTCATTTATAATCAAATTCATTTTTAAATTCTTTATTACTGAAGATAATATTATAATGATTTTTCTAAACATTGTACCATTTTTAATTAGTCTTCTCACCATTTTTTATTCATCAAAATGGTTTTATACTATTACATAAATTCATATTATAGACATTTTATCTTCTAATAATTGACATAAATGGCAAATATATTAATTTTATATTTATTAATAATTCAGAAACTGTACGTGATGTATGAAATCAACAAGTCATGGTGTGGACTAATTTCTATCCACACAATTTTGTCTATAATTTAGAACAACTGGGGACAGTGGTATAATGTGGGCTGGTCTCTGCCACAAGGTGTGGTGTCTACACCCCTTTATGAATTCAAAATGCATTGGCTAAATCAACTACTAAATATGTTACTTCAAAAGTTTATCAAAACTTTTCTTTTACAGAATTCAATGAGGTCGTAAAACCTTCAGTATCAGGTTATGAAGTTAGTAATCACATAGTAGTGAAAATAGAAAAGGGGCTAAGCAAATCAAAGAGCAAAGGATAGTAATTTTACTAGATAAATTCAGTAAGCATGCGGTTCTATCACGTGCAATATCAAAATACTAGCACAAACGAAAATTGAGCTTAAAAAAAAAAGACAAAATGAACTTCAAAAACTAAGGACTGATATAAAACATACATGAAATGCATCAAGTCAAGGACTCACATAGCCCAAAGAAACAAAAACTTCATATCTTCACCAAGACATATTTACATTGAGAGACGCACATTGAGCTGCTGGAATATTTCATATATTTAAATTTAAATCTGACCCACTACAGCAGTAATGGATGATTTAAAATGAGAGTCCAATTGCATTTCACTGTTTGAACAAGGGTGAATATGCTGAAATATTCCTGTCTCCAATCCATGAAGATACATGGAACAACTTTTCATTGCATGTTTGTTTTTATTTGTACCAACCTGCATGTACATGTATCAATTACTAAAAAATACCAATGCAGGCCAATGGTCAAGCGTTTTTTTTTATTTTGGTGGGGTGCCCAAGGGTCTAGTTTGACCTCATATTTTCATCAGAGTTGAAATGTGTAAGCAATGTAAACATATAATTTTTCTTTTAGTATTGGAATGGGCAAACAAGCTATGTGCTAATCAAGTTTCTGAGGACCTCCCTGGTACGGTTTGGCTGGCTGCACATGTAGAAACTCTGGAGTCTGGACTACAATCAATAGTCCATGAGGACTTCAACAGTTAATCCAAAAGAATCCTGCATTGTCAGCCCAACAAAATTTAATGTTCTAATCTAAATCCAATGTAATCATAATATTTTCTCTTGAAGTATTGGAATGGGCAAATAAGCTATGTGCTAATCAAGTTTCTGAGGACCTCGCTGGCACAGTTTGGTGGAACATGTAGAAACTCTGGACTACAATCAATACTCAATGTCCATGGGGACTTCAACAGTTAATCCAAAAGAATCTCACATTGCCAGCCCGATAAAATTTAATGTTCCAATCAAAATGAATACAAGAGCTAGCATTAGATAGCACCATTTAGAACACACATTCAGGAACATTTGATTCAACTATAGACAAAGTACGTAAAACCATAAGAATATGGTGCAACATACATAACTGTAAATTCAAGTGGTTTTCAAATTAGAACTTTGAACATGCCGCTGATGTGACATACAGTAGTTGGAACTTGGGAGAAAAATGTACAATTAGCATTTTATCCAAGCCATGAAATCCATCTTCTCCCACATCCAAAAATTCAAAATTCCATCATGGGATCTGTGCAGACAATATCAAATATAACCTGGCCTTACTTTAAGAAACAATTATATCAGATATACCCTTAAAATGAACTAATTTCTCTGGTCAACCTCACCTAGTTGGTCCTTAGGGGTTCCTCAGCTCCAGATTTCTAAGACCGTCTATAAAGGAAAAAAAGAAAACTATTTCCAAGTGATATAATTAATTTTCTTAATTGTAAATTATCAGCATCTCTAGTTGTCTTCATTGATTAGCATCAAAACTGAAATTTGTTTTGGAAGGACTGAAGAAAACACAGATGAAAGATGATATGCTGTACCATATTAGTATAGGATGTTTTACATAGTAGAATGTACATAAGTGTTATTTTCTGGTTCTTCTTGTTCTCTTTCTATTTTCTATTTTTTCCATCTCAGAGGTATCCGAGCAATTGTACATAAATTACAATATTTATATAAGCTATCATTATGTTCTGGTGCTCTGGTCATGGTAGAGAGAGAGCTCACCATAACTCTTCCCTATTGCTGTTCATGTCATAATCTTCTCCAAAGGTTTTGTAAAATCTAATAAGGACAAATTTATAGTAAGCACAACTCCTCTCCTACCCATCTAAAAAGAAAAAAGTAATAACGAAACAAGAAAACCAGGTCTTATGAGAGAGAAACAACACAAAACACTTGGAGATCAGATATGAAGTGAACAATGAAAAAAGAAAGTCTCAAACGAATAAAACCAATTGAAAAACCTGAAAACAATGAAGAGTTGATAAAAGCAATAACCACTCTGAGAAAATGGCCGAGGAAAACAGAACAATGAAAGAACCAACCATAGATGAGCCCATGATGAAGATAATCATGGTGGAGGAACCACTGATCTACCTCTAGGCAGGCATTAATTTATCTGGGCCTAATTGCCTTTTTATGTAAAATATGGATTATAGCTTACCACTTTACCAGTAGTGACACAACAGTTTATGTGAAGAAGATAAGAAATAATTTGAACGTAGCCATAGATTTATCAAGACTTAAATTTCTTCTTGTCAAATCAAGTGTTTTATTTACCAGTGGCAAAAAAGAAACAGAACACTTGGTGCGCAGAATGATCAGAAATAATTTACATTCCTTTCTGATGACTGTATGAAGAACAATATTAAGATTCAGCACAACCAAATCTAGATCCAATTTTTCCTGAAATCTATATCAGAGAACATTTTAATCCTCAATTTTGCAATTTGAAGCTACAATGCCTACCAAAACAAATAAAAGAAAATAAGTTTAATTCAATTTTGATTCTGTCTCCTATTTCTGTTCTCTATGATATCAACCGATTGTGTAATGATAAGTCAATCCTACCAGTGATTCTTTGTTCATGCATACATTCTGCCAAGCCTTTTTGCCATCATTATGGAAGCAAAAGAAGACAAAAAAGGATGATTTCCTTAGGGCCTTATCTCAAGTTCCTTCTGGTGGTTTGATTCCAACACCATTTGGATGTAGTTCAGGAAGCAATTTTTTCTCCTCAGAAAGATCCAACCCCTCAGTATCTTCAAATAGTTGTTTTCTAAGAACATCATGTAGATGGCCGAAAAGCTGCTTCTTTAGTGACTCAAAAGCTAGGCTCAACCTCTCTAATTGCTCCAGTGCATTCTTGTTATACATAAACAGCCCATAGTAAAGATCAAAGCTATCCCCTTCTGTGTTCTCCACCAAATTCAATAATGTATCATACCCCTTAGTATTTATAGGTGTAGTCTCCAGTCCAAACTTCCCTAGTGCTCTCCCAATTGTATGAGTTATGAACTGTGACCCTGCTGCATACTTATCATGTTCTATACAACACATTTCAATCATGACACAACCCTCCTGAGCAAAAATGTTCAGAAAATGATTACACCGGTTAATCCTTGATTCCTCGCTCCCAATCCTCACTTTGTCATAGACGAAATTAAGCCCAGCCCACCCATGTTTTCCACTCTCTGGTCCAAACATGGGGTGAGTGCAGAGAATATCAAACTCCGGCGGCAGCACCTTAAGGAACAATTTTCTGGGGAACTCTTTCACCGAAAGAACGTCCACAAACAAGGTGTTCCTTTTCAACCTTTGCACCGGAAACGACCTAAGAACGGACTCGGTGGAAGTAATTGAAGTACAGAGAAGGATTACCTCTGGGTGCTCTTCACAGAGATCATCAGGATCAGAAAAGAACGAAACCCCTAATTCACGAGCCGCGGCCGAATAGTTCGATCGAGAATGTGCTAAAACAGTGTGGCCTTGTCGAACCAAGGTCTTAGCCAAGAATTGGCCGAAATTTCCGAACCCAATAATGGCGATCTTCAGCTTCGTGCTCTTCTCTAAGCGGTCATTTATCTTTGCCTCGTAATCATAGGGTTGAGCAGCATCGAGAGCTCTGATTTGGAGACTGTGGCGAGGAACTCGGGTTCTGGAAGTGAAGGAGAGAAATGCAGGCCGAGAATGAGGAAAGCTGCGAGAGATTGCATGCAGCTTCGTAGGTAGATTCGGAGTCGTTTGGGAAGGATGCAATGCAGAGAACGAGGCCATTGCGTTTGCGTAGCGAATCAGTGACGGATGATAATGGAGCAAACCCTATATTTCTTTATAGGGTACCCGATTTGAAGTCCATTGAAATTTTAACAACTCTCCGACCCGAACCCGGAAGCCCGCCCAAGTTGCACCCCGTGGAGGCGTGGACAGTTGACTGGGTGGGGTTACCTTACGTCCTTACCAAAGGGCAAAGGCTGACTTCCAACGGAAATCTGAAATCTGAAAATTTATAAAAGTAGTTAGACTATTTCCCTGTATACAAGCACAACATTCCACCGTTATAGTGTGGATCCATGTAGAAAGATTCTAATTAGACGGTGATGGTGCATAGCATCTTAATTGTGTTGAACGGAAGTGTTTGCATGAGAAGGAAAAGTGCCAACATATGGTTTGTATCAATGTTTTTGAACCGTCATTGAGCCGGACGGTCAGACCATTCGGCCTGAAAACCATTCAGACAACCAGTTTCGTTTCACCTCTAACCCGTTATTAGGTCAAAACCTGTTGATTTCGTCAAAAAATCGCAAACCCGGGCGGTCGAACTGTCGACTCGTTTGACCCGATCAGCAGTTCGCAATATAAAATTACAGAGAACTCGATGATTCTGATTTGAGATCAAACACGAACTCAAATCTGTGATCTAGCACGAAGAAGAAGAAGAAAACACGAACTCAGATCTTCCTAGATCTCAGATCTGAGATCCAAGAAGAAGAAGAAGAAGAAGAAAAAGAAGACACAAACTTTCTCAGATCTCAGATCAGTATTTGTTGTCGCCGCCTCATCGTCGTCGTCGCCGGTGAGCATCCAATCATCCTCATCCTCTTCCTTCTTCTTCCCTCCTCTCCTTCCCTCCTTCTCTCATTCCTTCTTCTTCTTTCTTTTTTTCTATCTCAAACAATAGTTCTCTTTCTGCTCTCAGCCAACATCTCTTACGAGGTTTGCATATTAGGACAAATCTCATATAAACATTTACCTTAATATGCAAACCGTCTGAACCGTTCAATCCAGATGATTGAACCGCTGACCCGAAAACCGGTAGCTAGAATGGTTCGGTTTTTAAAACCTTGGTTTGTATTGTACTTATCCCAAGTATTGTTTTGTCTTTTCATGTAAAATCCATTTTTAGTTAAGACAAATTACAAAATGCCCCAATCTTCGGGAAAAATCCTTACACCTCCCTGAGGTTTTTGACAAATACTGAAATCTCTCCTCTTTGTTTTTTCCTAAGCCTCGAATATCCCTTATTGAATGATCCGTTAAAATGTTTTTCGATGGGGTTTTGGATGTTTGAATCTAATGCCCAAAGTGTTTGCCTCTTGTGAATCAGCAATTAATGTAGAATAAGGGGTGTTCAATGTGGATGGCTTTGTTTTCACAAAAACAAAGCAATTGTTTTTGTTTTAAAAAAGCATAATCATTCACATTGTGGAATACCCCAAGTGAAAGGTGATTACTTTCCTCTCAATATAGTGTGTGTGTTTTGTTTTGTAGGTGTTTCGTGATACGTGTTTATTAAAATGTTGTCATGTTATCATTAAATCAATAAATTTCCCATCATATTCATTCGTATGTATTGATATTCATAAAAGTGAGTTTTGATTTATGTGCGCACCAACCGTTAGAGGAAGCTTCATTTAATGTTTCTCCCAATGATTGAGCGTTTATTCACTATTCCGCCGATGTGGCACCTAATGGTGCTTAATTGATCCAAAAACGATCTATCAAGTACTTTTCTCGATTTTGAAGAGAAATCAAGTACAAATGTTTATTTAATAAACGGATGCTAGCCAAAACACAAAAGTAAGCCTATAAGAGTGGTTAATGTCCTTTTAAAAGGTGAGGGATGCTTTTATATTTATAAGAAATCTAAGGGAATTTTGAGGATCATAACAAAGGGCCACCATCCACATGGGTTCAACCTTGATGATTGGATGAAAAAAAAGTTCATATGAAAATTCATAGAAACTTCAATTTCAACATCATAGTAATAATGATGATGGTGATGATGTTTGATGTCATCACAATCATTATTATTCTAGGATTAGGATTATTGTTAGTAATAGAGTAAATGAATGTTCTGAAAAGACATTATACCAAAAGAGCTTTGATCAATCATTATACCATATTAATAATGATGATGATGATGTTTTTTTTTATCATGGCTAAACCCTAGATAATAATGTCGAAAAGTAATGCATCAAAAATTCATTCTAAGTGACAATGCATTTCTATTATCTTTAAAACATGATTTAATTTTTAAAATTAAATAAGATACTAAAATTAGATCCACTATGTAAATAGTGATCTCAAATAAATTGGATTATTGTTTATAAACAAAACTTGATCTAATCTCTTATATACAAAAAAAAAAAATACCTGACATAAATTGATAATGGATATTAAAAAAAAGGTTAGAATGGTGGCTCCATACTTGGCACGGGGCCATCACTATCTAGTTAATATATTAAAGTGAAAAAAAAAAGATTATGTAATATTTAAAAGATATACTTAATTATTTAGCTTGTGAGCAATAAAATAAAACCAAACAATATATACCTAAAAATTTCTCTCACACCAAAACATGTCTATGTTTATATTATCTATTACTTTGCAAATAAAAGAAACCAATGAATACTCCATGTTTCATTCTATTACATAGTGCAAATGAAATTTACATTACAAAATATTATTTTGTATGTATTTATGTTTATACTCTTTTCAAACCAAACCCTAAGAACTAAACTTCCTTTCTCTCTTATTTTCTATCAAACCAAATTTAAGTTTAGGGAAACCAAAGAATACCAGGTCAATATGCCACGTAAGCCTAAAACATGTTGTTCCTATGTATATGAAGCTAATATGTCAAATCATGATCGATCGGTCCAACAATACCAATAAAACCATTGAAGACCCAATAAAAGTAGATGTGCTGGTTCCATGAAGGAAAGAGATACTTTGGATATGTTGCCTTGAAAAAAACTTTGAAAAGAAAGAAGCCCATGGAATAATTATGAGAGGAATAAATCAATATTGTCACTAAAGTAAACAACAAAGTTATATTTTTCTTGGAAACTTCTCCCTCTTATGAATGGGTGGCAGTGGAGTTCATGAAAATACGCACTAAAAGACAAAGTTGAACATGTTTTTCATGGATCCCATCTTATAGAGTCATGTACGGGTCATTATTTGGTGTAATGATAAAATCTTAGGCTAGAAATTTTGAGAATGCAAATTCAAGTATTGAAACGGTTACTTTATATAAAATAATAGGGAAAATTCCCTTTGTGACTGGTGTTACTTTGGCCCCGAAATTTTAAATGTTATAATACATTATCTGTCATTAACGTTGAGTTAAGTGGCATTTGAAAAGATACAATACCCTTCGAGTGTCATCTAATTTTTTTTATTAATCATTCAAACATTGATAAAATATGAACAGTTACAAATTTTTTTTTCTTCTATTTAAGAAAGTTGGAGTCACATCTCAGTGGTGACCCCAACTTTGTTGAATAAAAGAGACAAGGATTTGGGACTGTTCATTTTCTATCAGTATTTGGATGGTCGATAAAGAAAATTAGATGATACTCGAAGGGAATTTTTGTCTTTTCGAATGCCACTTAACGGCATGTTTTGAAAGTTTGGGTATTGAATTGTTGCGTTTTAAAGTTTGGGGATCAAAGTGACAATAGGCCAAAAGTACAAGGTACTAATCAGGAATTTTCCCCAATAAAATGTCAAAAGTTAGGGCTATATAAGACTATCCCTCCCAATACCCATAGCTGTGACCACCACTGAATAATGGCTTTGTATCTAATAAAATCATCAAGGTCCGTTTGGTTCGCAGTTGGAATCAGAATCAAAATGGTCTATTCCCATAGTCTGTTTGGTTCAAACAAGAATGTAAATGAGAATTGAAATCAACAGGAATGAAATTCCATTCCCAAAGAAAGGGCAGAAAGGGATTGATCATTCCCTCAAATGGGGGAATGCCATTCCAATAAGAACAAGAATAGGATTTCGATTCCGTCCAACCAAACAGTTAGAATCGGAATAGCCCATTCCGTTTATTGATCAAAGTGATTATACTTGAATGATTATAAAATGCAATAATAGATAGAAAGGGATTGACTCACGCCTGGGGCACAACCACAAATTATGGTTCGGTCTTCAACCTACCACATGGCAAACATTTGGTGGGTCTTCTATAACATGAATATTCTTGTTTTTATATATATATTCTTTTTAAATTGTCACATCAACAAAAAAATTAAGACAGTTTGAAAAGAGTGCAAAATCTTGTATTTGTATTATTTAAATGTATTTATACTCTTTCCAAACTGAGCCTAAAATACACTCTCCTAAAAAACCAGTTAATTTTATTTAAAAAAAATGATTTATGTTTTTGAAATCATAAAAATAATACAAACTTTAAAATACAAATATTAATCACCATGAAAAGGTGTTAGTTAAAATATCAGAAGCACATATTTTAATGATTTATGTAAATCAAGACAACACAATCAACATATAGTATATGGAGGTATCATACAATAGCTTCACCAATAATATATCAACCAATGTCTCAATTTCCAATCTACTAAAAATTCAAAAATTCAACATGACATATTGAATATGATGAGTTGATGATGATAATAAAGCATTAGAATGCTGCTTTAATTAGCTTAGGTTTAATTCATTATCTATGTTAAGCCAAAATACTAAAACAATTAAACTATATTTTATTTATTTTTATTTCTATAGATTATATTAAGATTAAAATTATATACACTATCTCATTGCTATATAACTTCTTAAAAATACTACAAGTATTAAATCATTAATATGTTAGTATGTTATTATTTGTAGATTAAATTATTTATAGAAATATATATGATCTTAAACTAAGAATATATCGGATCCGTGAGAATGAAAAAGGATGCATAATTGATAAATTTAAGACATGAATCACATATATGCAACCGAGTAGTGGCTCGGTTGACATGTTACTGGGTTGTCCCAACAGAGACACGGATTTGAAT